TACTCTCTTTTATTTCAATGTGTACCTATTTTTGTTTAGACTAATGCCAATTATATTATCATGGTAGCACTAAGTTGTTGGGTTTTCTTTGTTGGTCTCCCTACCTAAAAGAAGTAATAATCCTAACTGAAGAGCTTATATATTTGTCAGCATTAAAACTCTAAGCTTTTACTTCACACTATTTTTTTGTGCATACTAAATAAATTTTAAAGAAAGCATTTAAAGATAGGGTTTTTCTAAGGTGGAAATAAAGTCCAAATATTGGCACAATAAGTAATATAAAGCCAAAAGTGCATAGAAGTTCCTTTTGACTATGCAACTCTGGTATTTGTGATAGCTGGCATCAAAAATGAAGGGGCATTTGTTTGATTGCTTTCCTTTAGCATGTCTCTACAATTTAGAATGGAAAAACCTGACTTAAAAAAAACATGACAATACAAATACATTTGGTGAGTTGCATTTTTAAATTGATTTTTATTTTTTAAATATGTGCATTTTGCTTTCCTTCATCTGTTCTGCATACCAAAAGTAAACCTGGGTAAGCATAAGTTACCTGGAAAACAAACGTATAGGGAGGAATAAGCACCTCCATTGTAGCCTGGAGAAGAAAGCTTTGTCTGCAATATGGAGACAGTATAGTGCCTGTCCTGTGCTTTCTATCAGTAAAGAGCTCTTTATAACAGAAAAGCACAGGACAAGAATTATGCTGTGAAATTTTGGGGTTTTGGTGCTTGTGTGTCCCCCAAAAAAATGAAGCTTCAAAATAAATGCTGACAACTTAAATAATGATAGATTTCCATTACAGAGTAATAATGCCGAAACAGATGCCAGCTTGGTGGAACTATGTGGTGAAAAATGGTCCTTTTAACTAATCATGTTAACAGCCTCACAGCTTGACAGCGACATAAGCTAAATGACCAAAAGATTATTATGGGTTTGTTGTTGTTGCTATTATTGATTTAAGTCCTATTTCTGGAACAAATGTGTTGGCAAGAGCTAGTTGCTTCAGGCAAACAAAGAGCTCTGACATCACCTGACTGTGGTAAATTACAAGTTTTACTGCAGAAGTACTAAATTCTATGGTTCATAACTTCCTGGCTTCAATGTGATATGAAAACTGTCTAGTTTACAAATTTTAAAGTTGTCTTACTCTAGATTCACTGCTTGCTTGTGAAAAAATTACTGCGTTGATTTGTATAGTATTTTGAAAGCTTAATAAAAAGGCCTGGAAATATAGTCAAATAGTATAAGGGTTAAGTTATGAAACCATGAAACTTTTTACTTTACATTCTGTCATGCAGGATACAGGAATTACCTGGTGGAAATTCTAGTTCTGCAGTGTTGAAACTCACATTTGTACAATGCTGATCCATGTGAGCCGTGACAATGAATAAGATAGACTGTCAGGCTGATTCTTGATGACATGCAAAGAATTTGTTCTGCTAAAACTTATTTATAAAGATGCCAAGTGAATGAACACAACTGCTGTAAGCCCCACCTTAAAGTAAAAGGGAGAGGCCAATGGACAAAGCACTTCTTTCTGTCTCAGCAGGAAGATGTTTGCAAACAGGGAAAGAGCTGAGTGCTGTCAGAAGTAAGATCTATTCTGCACAAAGTAGCTTTGCTCAGTTGACTGAGTTTGTTCTGATGGTATAATAAATCCATCTTTCAAACAGGTACTGCTAGACCTCTGCAGCCACAGACAGCAGCGGGCTAATCCAGTGCAAACAGTCTCCAAAATGACACTATCCCTGAAAAAAAAAAAAAAAAAAAAGAAACAAACAACAGAAAACACCACCAACTAACAAGCAAGGAAATAGATTTGAACTGGTAATGATTTCATCCCAGAACTGCAGAATACACTTTATGCTAACTACAGGAGTATAGTTAATATCAGATCTAGTATAAGGTTGGACCAGATGAAATGTGTTCTGAATGTTCTTACATGGCATAGTAGTGATATTGTTGCTCAGAATCGGTGTCAGAATATGAAACAAGGGTTTTAGAGTCCAAAGAAAGAAAGAAAGAAAGAAAGAAAGAAAAGAAAAAGAAAAAGGGGGATTCCTTGAAGGACAAAGCAAGAAGTGAAAATATTGCTGTGAATGAGGACTGAACCCAGCTCGCACTTTGTGCCATTAAGAGTCTCACAAGTTGGACACTTGTATTTTGAGTGAAGAGAGGTTAGAGGTGGACTAGAATAAGTTACAGTGTTATCCTGACCTGGCAAATCCTTGTCAAACTCCATTGCTCATCATAGACTGAAGTTTATGGAAAGTGGACTCCGCACTCCAGGCATCTTGGAAGATTCACCCAAACTGAAAATTTCAGTTGAAATTTTCAGTTTGGGTGAATCTTCCAAGGTGCCTGGAGTGCAGAGTCCACCTTCCATAAGCTTGAGATAAAAACAGATGTGGAGTAGAAGTTGCAGTCTGCAAATAATGCTCACCCCACTGTGAGTGGTTCTGTAAACACAAGCCCAGACAAATACTGGAGTTTGCAGCAATATGCAAGAATTGCAATAAATTGCATCACTTTCATAAAAGTTTGCCAGCACTTATTGCCCATGCAGTAAGATGGCTACAGTGGCAGCAGTGCAGAATAATTTTGAGATGAGACAGACAACCAGAACACAACCCTTTTGTCAGGCAGTGTGTGTTTAGTGAAGGAAAAATTATGATTTGGATAAGTAACAGCTTACAACAAAACAAAAATATGAGCTAAAAGGAGGTGGATTTGCTGGTTTTGCTTTTTCCATGTTTGTTTTTCAATTGTTTGTGTTTATTTGGGGTGCATTTGTTTTCTTGTTTGTTTGTTTTTTGTTTCTTTGGTTTTATGGATCTTGCCTGTAGGAATGATTCTAGGTAACTCCTAGAAGAAGAGCTAGAAAGACCTATCACTGATTCTCATAGGGAATGTGCTTTGGTGGTGGTTAACACCATAAGATGTGGTACTTCTTTTCTCACAGCTCCTTTTAATCACTGCTGGTTTATTATTTTTTTCTTTTTTTCCCCCTCCCATCTACTACAGTATAAGAATTATAATGGAAAGCTTTTTAGTTAATGCTTTAAATATTTCTGGAATGGTCTCTAGTTGCCTCTAAATGCATCAGAAAGTAGCTTTTTCTTCAGTGGCAGCACTCTTCTCATTGTCTTTCTGCTACCTGAACAGTTACCTTTGCGAAAACCTGCATGAATTTACTGGTTTCAACATCTCTAGTTCTCTGTTTAAAAAAAAAAAAAGAACCTGAAATTTAGCTTCAAAGCTTAAGCAAGATGGCAATTGCATAGTTCTCTTATATTTGCTATTGTTTTATCTGTCTCAGGCACATGTTATGCTTCTGGTTGTCCTGAGCAGGTCAAGAGGCTTGATGATCCATGTGGGTCACATCCATTCCAGGTATTCTGTGACTCTATGATTATGCAGAAATTGTTGGCAAAAATATTTATCTGTAGTTACAAGCAGGGGAATTCCAGTGTTTGTTTAGGGCCTTTTTTGGAATGTAGAATTAAAAATAAGAAAATATGTCAGCACATACCTTCTTTGGATGACAGCTTTCTGCAGACCGCAATCCAAACCACATTTGGTATGAAGGCTTTTTAAATTTATTTTTTGCTTATTATTTATTACATATTACATATTCTGGCCTATATACTTGAGGTTTTAAGCTGTATAAAGTGGTAGAAAGTGTGGCAAAACTGCAGGGCTACAACTCCAACAGATAAAAAGCAATAATGCAAGTGACCTGAAGATAAGAAAGTCCTGCTGCCATGCCTCCCTTATCCTCTAAAAGCAGGTAAGTTGCCCTGGAGATAGTGAAGGCAACTTAAGGAAAATTGTACCTAATATAGCAACTCGATTTAGTGGACTCTGCCTCAAGCCATGGAGGATATTGCTCCTGGATAAAGATCCTTCCTAGGTAGCATTACATAGCACAGAAGCGAGGTGTGAGACATTGGACATCTCAATAAAATACAATGGAGAGACACTCTCTACAAATACGTGAAAGGAAGCTGAAGTCAGGTGGCGTTCAGCCTCTTCTCCTGGGCGCTAGGGTCAGAACAAGAGTCTTAAACTGTGCTAGGAGAGGTTTAGGTCGGACATTAGGGGAATTTATTCACAGAAAAAAGGGTGAGCAGGCATTGGAATGGACTGCCCGAGGAGGCGATGGAGTCATCCTCGCTGGAGGTGCGTAGGGAAAGACTGGACATGGCAATTGATGCCATGGTGTAACTGACAAGGCCATGGTTCGGTCACAGGCTGGACTCGAGGATGGCTGAGGTTTTTTTCCAACCCAGCTGATCCCGTGATACCCATTCCCAACAGGGCGCAGAAGAAGATCCGTGCCAATAGCCGCCTCCCGGGCCCGCGCAGCCCGACTCCTCTCGGGCGTGACCGGGGGGTGGGAGGCCGTCCCCTCGGCCACGCTCGGTGCCCCGGCCGCACGCAGCAGGTGCTCGCTCCGTCCTTCCCTCGCTGCCGCCGATCCCGGATTTCCCGGGGGCCGCGCGGGGCGGGCGGGGCAGCGCATGCGCCCGGCGGCAGCGCTGCCCGCGGGAGGGAGGCGGGGCCGGGGCGGCCGTGCGGGAGAGGGCGGTGGCAGCGCCGAGCACAAACTCCGGAGGGGAAGCGGCACCGCCGGCCTCCGCCCCCCGCCCCCACGCACACACCCTGTAGCGGGAAGGGGGAAGCAAGCGGCCCGCCCCCCCCCTCCCCTGTCCCGGCGGTGCACGGTCCTTCCCGGGACTCGGTGGCGGCGGGCGCTGTGCCCGGGACGGTAGGCGAGCGGCGGGTAGCTGGGGCCTGGAGCCGCCGCTGGAGGAAGGGAAGAGCGGGGTGTTCCCGCAGCGCGGGTGGATGCGCAGCCTGAAGGGCGGCTCCTGCGGCGCCTCCTGCGGCCTCGCCATGGCCGGGCCCCGACGGTGAAGGCAGCGGGAGCCGCCTGTGTCCGCGCCGCGCCAGGAGGCGGCGCCGCCGCAAGCAGGGGGCGGGCGGGGAGGGGGATGAGCAGCGCCGCAGCCGCCGCCGCCTCTGCGGGAGCCGCCGCTTGCACCGGGGCCGAACGCGGCTACTCCTTCTCCTCCGGCGGCGCCGCTCCGGCCATGGGGCCCGAGGAGGGCTCGGCCGGCGGGCTGGGAGCAATGCCCGCCCCGCCGCTGGGCTGCAGGAGCCGCTACCAGCTGCTGCTCTCCGGGAAGGCCCTGGCCGACAGATACCGGCGGATTTACACGGCGGCGCTGAGCGACCGTGAGCTGGGGAGCCACCCGGGCAGGTAACGCGCGCCGCGCTCCCTCCCGGGCCAGACGCGCAGCCCCCGCCACCCCTCCCATCGCCGGCTGGGAGCGGCCCGGCGCGTGCACCTTCCTCCCTCCCGGCAGCCGCCCTCCTCATCCTCCTCCCCGCCCCCGTGCCGGGCAGCGCGGCTGTGTGTGCCCGCTGCCATGTGGCCGCGCCGCCGCGCCCCGGGGGACGGAGGGAGGGAAGGGGCGGTGATGTAACCCGGCGGCTGCCCAGGTGCCGCCCGGGCCCCGCCGCTCGCTTGGCCGGCGATACCGCGCAGATGGCGCTGCCGCCCCCTCTCCCGGGGCCCTTCGGGGCAGAGTTACCTGTGCCCGCCCCAGTGTGCGGCCCAGCTCCCCCGGGGGGATGGTGAATGCCATTGCTGGGTCCCCGGGCAGACCCCGCTGTGGCCAGGCTTGCCGGAACGGGCTGAATCCCGTGGTCTCTCCCGAGACGGGCTGCGCAGGGCACCCGCGGCTCCCGCTGGATGTGTTACCGAACGAGAGACCGTGGCGCTTTTCCCGTGTACCGGGGCTGCCTTTAGCTACCCTGCCTTATTTTTTCTCCTCCTCTTTAGGTCATGTTCCCCCTCTGCTATCGCCATGTAGGCGGCCTCGGTGTCTGGAGGGAGGCAGCGCCTTGCGGGGGGAGCCGGGGGGTTCTGGGGTGCGGTGTGGCCCCGCCTGGTTCCCGAGCACCCCTCCCCAGCGGATGATGCCCCTCAGGGCTCCCATTCCCGGTGCTGCCGGCCGGCTCTGGGGCCGCAGCAGGGTGCCTGTTGCTCCTCCGGCCGGGAATACCGCCCTGCCCTGCTCCCGGGCCGGGAGGGAGCTGCGGGCTGTAGCGGTGCGGAGCCGTAGGGGCGGGAGGGGAGGCCGCCCTTAGCCCGCAGCCCCCGGCCCGGGCGGATCCTCCCGGCCCTGCAGGCATGGCGGGGTGCGCGGTCTCGCCGTGTGAAGGGCTCCCCATTGTTCCCCTCCGGAGGTCGCTGAGGATGTGGATGACACGAAACCGGCACCTTCCTGTGTTCTCAGCCTGTGCTGCTCTTCAGGCTGTGATGTGGGTGGCCGGGTCCTATGGAGAGCTTTGAGTCACCGTTGTTTCAAGTTTGCAAGCGGTTGTAAAGCACGAGGAGGTTGCCTGCTTGGCTTCTTCAGGTTTTTGTTAGTCGGACTTGACAGCAGGGCTTACCCTCCACCCCCCTTGCCCCAGAAAGATGTGTCCAGGAGTGGAATTAACATAAGGCACATACCTTTCCCAATTTGCTTTATGGTAAATGCTGGAAACGTGGACTGATAGCATGGGTACTTGACATCTTTGAAACTACCCACTTCTTTTCAGAGTGTGCGATAGGGAAACTATAGCTCGTCTTTCCCCCCTGAAAACCAGCAAGTGTTTTCTTACTCTACATATTCCTTAGTCCATTGCTTGTACTTTTTCCATTAGATCTCTTCCCACTTTTGAGCTTTGTGTCATTTAACCCCGGGATTGCAAGTGCTGAGTATAAGGATACTACTAAATGCAAGGAAATCAGCTGTGCAATTGCTCATCAGTACCTGTGTGAATTTTGCCCAAAGGGGTCTGCATTTTTTAAAGCTGTAGTTTTGCATTAGTTGTGTCCTCCATGTCTTTTGGTTTCAGGATGATTCAACTGCTATCCCTTATACTTAAAATTGTAGAAAATACTAGGTTTAGGTGTGTGTAAATGTTAATGCTTCTTTTAGTTGATGTTTCTGAGGTCAAGTCAAAGAATATAGACTCCTTGTACAGAGCAAGCAGGTTATATTAGGCTTTGGCAAGTAAATGGCAGGTAGTTAATACTGGTGAATACAGCCAGTGTGTATTAGACTTTTGAGAGGTGGAATATTTAATAATTATCTAGTTTCCTGCTATCACTACCCCCACTGCCTTATGTGGCAGACTGATGGCAGCTAAGATACTGCTTGTGGTCTCCACCTTTTCTCCATATTGGTGTCAAAATACTGCAAAATACTTCAGCTGCCTGGTAAACTTAAACAGAAATGGTCTTTTTGACCTTTTATGCCTTTTTATAAAACTAATACAAATTCCAAATATTTCCTAAAGATAGCTTTAAATTTAATTGTGGCTGCATCTAGTTGCTATGGTAGAAAACAATGCTTGATAAATTAAATTGAGCTTAAGATAATATAGGTTATGACAGAAGTTCTAACTTGATTTTTATATATTGGGAAAATCTGAAGCGTCTTAATCAGTAAGATTGTCAGTAAGAGTGTTTGTGACTAGAAAAGTAACTTGAAGTAACTGAAAAAAAGCTAAACAAATTGGCTTATCAATAGTAATAAAATTCTTCATGTGTTCCAAGACTAATGTGAAGAATGATAGTGCAACCTATTTGCAATAAGTTGATGTGGAATTTTTGCTTCAAGTCTGCAAAATTATACTCTGCACTTCATGGGCCGTGACCAGTGCCTGTCTTAGTAAGTGCTTCTGTTCCAAACCTAAATTTAATGTTTATGAAGAACTGGCAAGCAGTATGAAAATGCTATTGTGTAGACAAGGAAATCAAACATTGTGGAGATTATCTGAAAGTCACAAGATTAGTATCACATTTGCAAGGTGTTTGTGCTGGCTGTCGTCGGAAGGGATGAATATTACATGTTGAGTAGGATGCAGTAATTGGCTTTGAAACAGAACCAGCAGTGCTTTGCATTTCCTCATGTGATACAGGCTGCAGTGTCATGAGCACTGGTCTCCACAGGAGATGGGCTGGTTGGCGTGCTTGCTCCCCCTGCCACGCTGACATAATACTTCTGTAGTGTCTTGTAGTAACAGATTAGAGACTCACTCTGGGTTAAAATTAACTTGGCAAAACTGGTTTGTTGTAATCCAGACTAATTCCCTGATCTGGCTCACCTTGTGATTGTACTTGTGACAGCGCGAGGTGAAGGGTTGCACAAAGATTTTTGTACGGAGAGGCGGGAACAAAGAAACTTACTTTTGTCATTCGTGTCAACCTAATAATTTTATGGAAGGAAACAGAAAAAAGTATCCAAATCTGTGATTTAACATGCCGTTGTCTTTTTGCAGATAACAGTGTTAAGGATCTGCTGCATTACTGCCAGCAGTGGACAATTTAGTTGTCAATTCAGGATTGGTTTGGAAGAAGAATCTGCTCTGAGCATGCCTCAGTTTATAGTCTCTCTTTTGTGGCCACTGAAGTATTTGAAAATAACTGCATGATGTCTAGTGTAACTTACTAGTGTGTAAAATGCTAGTAGGAAGTATTGGCCTCTTCAGAGGGCAACTAAAAATTCACGTTTAACTGTTGTCTTGTATGCTGGGTTCTGGGTGGACAAAACTGCAAGTGGGTACTGGTTTTAGTTCTGTACCAAGGCTCTGTATTTGTCAAGTAAGGTGTTTCTGATTTTCACATTTTTGCTGTCTTCAAATGTGCTTTTTCTGCAGTATAACTTAATCCTAACAAACATCCCTATCCTTCTGCTGCTATTATTGCTTGTGCGTCTTGAGGGGTTTCCCTGAGTTGGCAGTCCTTTCACCTATTTACGTACTACCAGAATTATCACTTAGGCTCAGCATGCTCTTTGAGACTTCTTGTCAAATATAGATAGCTACATAAATTCATAATGGCTTTAGTGTGACCTGTTTTGTAGTGGAAGTGTTCACTGCATGATTTGTACTAACTTGAAATTGTTATATTACAATGGCAGTGTACTCTAAAATGACAGTGAGTTCATACTCGTGCCAAAATGACCATTACTTTGTTGCTAAAGTTGCCTCTCAGCTTAAATCCTTCAAAAAAAATGAAGGCGTCTCTTTGTGTTGTGAACTCTAGTGTTGTGGTTTCACTGAGGGCAGGAAAATATCAGTGATGATGGGAATGTAAGATTTCTTATAATAACTAGAGATTAGATGGCTGTTTTTACTATCTATTTTGGCTGAAGAAGAGCCAGCCAACTTTATTTCATGTTGATTGTTTAAGCTAGATGATTACAGCACATTTTGAAACTAGGTTACTCATTCACACTTGTAATTCTAAATTATACATCCTCTGGACATTAGGTTAGTCTTTAGGCTTTTAAAAATTTACAGTCTTCCCTTATACCCTTACTCAGTAAAGCAGTAATTATTTGAGATGTTTGGAGTATATATACTTGAAAATTTAGTGCAGAAATATTACTGAAGCTTCAGCTTTGCCTTGAGGATTTAAAGATTTTGTGAAAACTATTTTGAAGTAAATTTTGGTGTATGAGATTTGTGTGAATTTGATTGTTGGTACACAAGAAAGCCTTAATTTCTTCAGATCTAAAGCCTTTACAAAAGCTGTTAGATTTTTTGGTTTGGAACTTGTTGCTCTTTTAATATGGAATAATATTTGCAAAAAGTTAGGAAGCATTTACTTAGTTAAAAAAATAAAGGTTATGTGTACAAAGACAAGTAAAATGATAGTGGTATTACATTACCTGCTCCATTTTCCTACTTATTCCTGTGCAAGTGTTTGCTCCATAGCTCCTTTCCAACTGAAATATTCTAGTCTAGTTTATGTTATGTTTTTCTGTTCTTGTGTTTTGTAGATGTAATTTTACAAAACAGAGTTCAAGTTTTGTGTAAACTAAAACTGCTTATTGGGAAATTGATGTGCTGTTGAGTCTTAGATTAAGCAGTGCATTAGAAGAGTTGATGAGAGTTGCTGTCTGCTCTAGGCTTTTTAGCTGCAGTGTAGTAGTGTTTTAATACTGTATTGCCCTGTTGGTTAATGAGGATTAGCAAATGACTAAAATAGTGTATTTTTATTTATTTACCTTGTATTCTGTTAAGGAAAAGTTTTATGTAGGAGGTTTTTTATAAAGCTCTAGTTGTCTCTTAGTTTAACATGGTTGTATTTGTTCAGTGTTGGTGTGGGAAACATAATAGAAGCTGGAAAGAGCCCCGTAACATTACATTGAGAGGCTTAAGATGGGCATTTTGTTTGTGTATATTTATAAAAGATAA